GGGGAGGCTTGGGGCAGCGGCCTGGTGTACGGCAGGGAGCCTGCCTGATGTTTTTACCCCCTTTCTCTCTCTGTTCAAGGTCCTCGGGAAGTACCCCAACTATCCCAAAATCAGAGAAGAAATTTTGGTAAAGGCCCAGGGGTCCCTGAGGGCCTAGCTGTGGTCAGTGGGAGCCAGGTTGGGTGGAAGCCACCAACCTACGGACATTTCATGGAGGGGGTGGGATGTGGGTCAGTGGAGAAGAGATTCAGAAAATGACATATTCTTCCCCATGTCCGTGTCGCGTGCTTTATTTGAGCCATGCCTCCTCTGGTCTCAAGGGCGTCCTGAAGCTTTATGTGTTTAAGGCACAAGAAGCAGTTTTGCTCTGGGGAGCAAGGACAACAAGCAGCTTAGCTTCCCCTGGGCTCACTGGGCACCCCTCTTTTAGATCAGGTCCCCTTCGGTCAGCCACCTTTATTCCGGACTCTGGGAGGGGACACAGGGGAGCAAAGAGGTGGTTAAAAAAATACCCTCCAGCTATTTTAATATTGTTCCGGTAGCCCTGTAAATGCCTCTCCTCTCCTGCCTGGTCCCCCGAGTCCTGGAGCTAAAGAAGCAGCCCTTCTTTATGAGGCTCTTCCCTGCCATGGTGCTCGCTGCGTCCTCCCTGACAACAGGAGCAGCTGGGAGGACCAGCTGCACAAGGTCCCCAAGGCTGCGGTGCCATGTGAGAGAGAGACCGCCAGGCTGCGAGGGTCGTCGGCCCACTCTGTCCCCTCCTCCCCGAATCCCCAGCTGGCCTCTGCTGGTCCCCACTGGCTTGGGAAATTGCCCTTGCCTGGTACAGGGCAATGCATCATAAGAAAAAACAGTTCCCACTTCAGCTTCTGTAAAAGACACTGACCAACTCCTTCCTCCTCCAGAGAAACCCTTTAGCACCTCAGGGGACAAAAGCAGTGGTCCCTACTTAAGTGAATATCGTTCATTGTAACTGGCAAGAGGGTGAGAGAGGTCACCTCTGCTGCGCTCCCAATGCCTGCCTTCCTGTTTATCAGGATGGCAGTAATGGGCCGTCTGACCTCGGGGGAAGGGACTCTGGGAATCAGGAGGTCTAGAATGTCCATGTGTGACCTTCCTAAGACCCTTCCTTCCCCTCTCTTGGACTCAAGGTCCTCATCTGTGGCAGGAAATTAGACCAGATCCGTGTGTTCCCAAATCATGGTACAAATCCCTGCCGGTGATATTTAGCAAACACGTTTAAAGTTTAATAACTATGTGTTTCAATAGTTTTAGACAACGGAGGAGAACAGCACAACCAACCCCTGAATCCGTGGGTGGTGTCACATAGACTGGGTCTAACTTTTAAGCATGTTGAGGTAACTGATGCGGAGTCAAATGCTTCGTCTGAGTAGCATGTGGATATGGCAAAGTTATCGAGAGAAGGCCGGTGACTAAGGTTTGGGAACAGTGAACGGGGGAGGGTCCCTTTCAGAGCAGCTCAAGTTGTCCTTGCTGGCTGCTGAGCCTGGTGTCTGACGGGTGGTGTGCATGGCCTCTGGGTATGAGTCGATGACCTGGAAGGATTTCCCCAGGTTACTACCATCTTCCTTATGGGAAGACAGTCCACTGGACCATGAGGTGCTTTACAACGCAGTTTCTTCGGGAGGGCTTGTGCCCCACCTGCACAGCCAGGTTCGGTGAGCCTGAGTGGGCGGGTGGTGAAGGATTGAGAAAAGACAGATGAGGAAAGCTGGGTCTGGTTGGGACGCTGCCCTCTCTGATGGAGAGACAGCGCCATGGCCTGCAAGCCGAGTCTTTATTTATAGCCAGATTCCACAAGGCAAAGTAAGGGCGTGGTCAAGATGTTTACAACGTTCTCGTGGGTTTCTACTCAATGACACGCACCTGATCAAGCTTTGTTTACTTGCTGCACCTCAGGCAGCCTGAATCACAGCCACGTGGGACCACAGGTTCGACCCATAACCTGTCCAAACACTAGCCCCTCTCCACAAGGGCTGTGTTGAGAGGTCTGTCTCTATGGAAAATGATGCCGTAAAAGATTGTATATGCAGCACACTTATATTACTGTAAAACCTCGACCGTCTTCATTTATCTTAAAAAAAAAAAAAAAAAAGGCCAAGTGGCCCTGTGGCTCTAGAGGGGGCGTGAGCAGGTTGAGTCTAGCCGTGGGCTGTGTCCACAGGGTAGGAGCTCGCAGGGTCTTGCAGCTGGGGTATTGGAGCCGCTGGAGGCTGCCACCCAGACCCCAGGCTAGTCAGAGCCGAGCCTCACTGCCTTTGGAGGATGCGCTTTTGGCTCACGCATGCTGAAGCAATCTCTACGGAGGGATTCCCAGGGGCCAGTGAGGGAGACAGGGCAACTCAGTATCCACCATGAGAGGCCTAGGACCCGGCTGTCCCTGCCTAAGCTGGTCACAAGGACAGCCTACCCCACCATGGGCCAGACGCCAAGCCTCGAGTCCTCTAGTGGCCACTGACCATATGGCCATGTGGCCACGTGCATGCATGTCCCAAGGCAAGAGATGTACCTAAAAGGTGACAAAAGTGGTAAGAAAAAAAAAAAAGAGGCTAAAACAGAGAAATAGAGGCCAAAGCATGAAAAGAGCATGGAAGTCATGAGGCTTGCATGTTCCAGACTCTGTTCGGAGTGCTGTATATACATGAACTAGACAAGCTTAGGAGGTGAGCAGGGTTATTTGCACAGTACTGAGGACACCTGGGCACAGTGAGGAGGAAGTCATTTGCATAAGAAATCTCACTTGGTAGTAGAAGAGCTGGGATTCAAACTTGGCACTGTGGGTCTGTGTGCTTAACCAGTAAACCACAGAGAGCGCGAACCAACCGAGGCAGAGGATTAGAACAAGAAGTCAGGTCTCCTTGCTGGGTCCCCTTCCCAGCACTTGTGCAAATTATTATTATTGCTAAGAGGGAGGTTGACCTTGCTCCTCAAGCCCCCAGACTGGGGCTCACCAGGGCAGAGTGCAGCTTGCTCCTCTGGCCTGCAGCCCAGGCGGCCAGGGACAGGTCGGACAGGTCTGGCTGGTGCAGATGGATGAAGTTCTACAGCTTCCGGTGTGTGGTGCACAAGTCCCCAGGGACATCAGTAGCTCAGCCCCACACAAGGCCTCTACCCACCCTACCCCTCCGCCTGCCTCGCCCTGGGGGAGGGGCGGTGACTTCACCCTTAGAGCCTCAGCTCAGTGTGGGTGAGTGCCCTCACCCATCCAAGCACACAGCTTGTCTCAGACTATCCACCCCAGGAGACCCCTGGAGAGAGAGAGGGGTTCTTCCAAAGGGAGAACTGCTCCGTGAGCCCAGCCAGCCCCTCGCAGCTGGCTTCCAGTGTCCAGGTTTCCAGGCCTGCATGGAAAGAGGCCCAGCATACTGTGTCCCCAATTCCCATTCCCAACACGGCCTCAGTATCCGCGCTGCCCTGCAGGGCCTGTCTCCCCTTTCCTCCCCCTCACTTCCTGAGCGAACACCTGTGTTCTTAGTCTTCCCACAAATGCAGACCGCACCATTAAAAATAGAGCCTTTTTATTGGTACCTGTAAGTTCAGGTAGAAGGTGTTCCCACAAGCACACAGGCTGACGGCCTCCTGGGTAAGAAGGCAAGCCCAGAGCCTGGGCTCCTTGGCACAGACACAGAGAAAAAATGAATAAATTATAGTTACAATATTCAGGGACAATATAGAAATTAGGATGCAAAATTCATCATCAACAAACGGGCATAAGAGCCATAAGGCACCACCCCTCGTCTTGGCCAACTGGCCAAGGGTACAGGCAGGTGGGCCAGGCTGGAGTGCAGTGTCCAGAAAGCCCTGAGATTGTCTTCAAGGGCATGCGGTGGGCCCCGAGGCACTGAGGCAAGCCCCTTGCACGCTCTCGGCCTCCTGCTTCCCCTTCCTACATTGATGGACCAGGACTAAAGGCTATGGCCCTTGGGGGAGGGGAGAGATGGGGCAGAGGACAGGAAGTAGAGGGGGCTGAGTGGGTCACGGTTGGTCAGCTCAGTCCCTCCTCTGCCCAGACACTGTCCGAGGCTAACCTCTGCCTGCTCAACCATCCAGAGCCAGGCAGCTGCCACAGTAGACATAGGGTTTGAATCCACATCTGGTCTACACCTAAGACCAGGCAGGGCAGGGCTGCAGGACCATCAGGTAAAAGGGACTCGTGGGGTCTGTGCCCCACCCTGACCCCAGCCAGGGATGAGAAGCCTAAGCTGCCTAGTCTCCAAATAAATTATGGAAATAAATTATGTTCTTCACAGTCCAGAGGATTCAGCCACCCGGGGGGAGGGCTCAGGGTGGCAGAAGCCGGAAGAGGTAGATGTTTCCAGCCCTGTCTCGCTGTCATTAGGCTAAGAAACATCATGCCCTCCTCTTCCTGGCATGCGCCATGGAAGTGGGAGAAACTGGGCACCAGGGGCTGGGTGGCTGAAGGGGGGAGCCCCCTCCCACTCTCTCCAGCACAGAAAGTTACAAAAATAAATAATACATCAACCCAGAGGGTTGCATGGAAATTAGGAATGCCCACATGGGTGAGCCGGCCAATGGGAGACGGTTACCTACAGGCCCCAGAGAGCCCCCAAATTATGGCACAGCAGCAACAGGGCTTTCGGGGCCGGGAAAAGGCCCCCTAGTCCTCACACAGGCACGAGCTCCAGCAGTGATGCCAGGGCAGTGTCCTCAAACAACCGGCTGTTCCAGAAGGAAGGCAGAGTCCTCGGCAGCTGGCTCCGACAAGCCCATGATGGATTCCAAGAAGCAAACGCCGGTGTCCCCCGGCGGGGAAAAGGCAGGTAAGGGAAAGTGGGATGCCTCAAGGTTGTCCAGGCTGTCAGACACCTTCCGAGAGGTGTAGTGGGGCCCCAGACTGTAGTCTGGCAGGGCCTGGAGCAGCTCAAAGGAGTCGCAGGAAGACCAGCTGAGGTCCACTGAGCTGCTCTGGCCAGCGTCCATGCTGGGCGGCACCTCGGTGCCAGGGAGGCTGCCTTCTCCCAACCCTTCAAGGCCGCTGTTGAGGAAGCCGCTGGCATCCAAGTTGGCATTTTCATCCAGGATGCCTGATGTGAAGCTGGTATTGGCATAGCTGTGGGTCCAGCCAGCCAGGCCACCGGGGTCACCAGAACCAAAGATATCGGCGAGGTGGAAGCAGCTGAGGTTGTCGAGGTTCCCCACGCCCCCTTCTTCGTCCTCCTCTCCACCCAGGTCTGAGTCACTGAATCTCAGGATCCGCTCGAGGCTGTCATCCTCCATACCAGGCTGGAAGCCAGGGTCAGGCAGGGCTGGATGCGCAGGACTGTCAGGGGGCTCGCTGGTGCCCGATGCTGCGGAGGAGTCAGTCATGTCGCTGCTGCAGCTGTGGTCTCCCAGCTCGCTGCTCACGGGGGGGTTGGCCAGTGGGAAAGTGGGGGTCAGGACCTGCCCACCAGGGCTGGGTGGACTGCCCGGGGCAGGGGCCTCCAGCTCCCCAAGGCTCTCAGCCCCCTGCTCCAGCTGCAGGCGGGTGAGTGTGTGCAGCAAGTGGGTCTGAACCCGCGCCTGATTGAATTCCACACGGCCCTTGGGGTTCTCGCAGCCCTCCTTGCAGCAGCCACAGGGGAACGCTGTGTGGTCCATCTGCAGAGAAGGTAGAGGCACGAGTGAGGATCCCGAGGAGCCCAGAGAAGCAGCCCCCCAGCCCAGGCTCCCGCTCCCAGCCCAGCCCGACCACCGTACCTGGCACTTGATGCCCGCCAGGCTGCAGCTGCAGGTCTCAGGGTCACAGACCCTATCGCAGTTACAGCCACAATCCTCCCGGGACTGGCGCAGAGCCTGCAGCTCCCGCTTCTCCTCTCGATCGATCTTCCGCACGCCTGCAGCCCGCAGCAGGGCCCGCCGCTTCCGGGCCGGGTAGGGATGGAGGGAGGTCATTTCCTCCAACCGGCCACCTGCCACGGCCTCTGCCAACTCCTCATCCACAGAGGCATCATCAATGGCATCCACGGTCAGAGTCAGGCCGGCCTCCGCCTCAGGTACCCCAGCCTCTGTAAGCTGCATCCAGGGGGGAGAGGAGGGATGTGAGAGGCACAGACCTGGTGGTCTCCGTCCCCACAGCCACCAGTCATCCGACAAACACCCCCCATGTGCTACTCTGGGCTGGACACTGTGGATTCCCCAGTGACCAGGACGGCCAACAACACTGCCCTCGGGGCATCTGCAGAGATTTCCTGTCCATTTCACGGACAAACGCCCTCCCCCAGCCAGATACACCGACCCCCGTGTCCACCAATTCCACATCCTCCTCCCCACTGAGGCAGACAGATTCAGGTACCATGCCCCATTCTGCCTGCACATAACCCCGACAACAGATCCCGATCGAGCCATCACTGGCCCCAGGCATGTCTTTCCCCAAATAGTGGGCAAACCAGCACCTGCCCCTGATGCCCCTCCCCTCAAGGCTAGGACTTCACTGTGGACCTTTGAGGGGTCTCCTACCTTCGCTCGAAGCACCTCCAGCTTCTCCTCCTTCAAGCGTAGGCGGAGCTTCTCTTGCCGCGCCCGGGCCTGCTCCTGTGCAAACTCAGCCAAGGAGAAGTGGCGGCAGGCACTGTGGCGAGGGGCCATACCCAGAGTGCAGCCACCGCGGCTGGGCACGCTGGTGAAGCCCTGGCACCGAGGGAAGTAGAAGACAGTGGTGCCGTTGAAGGCTACGCGGCCTGGACGCTTCCGGGGAGCCCGCTTCAGGATGGACAAGGCTGGAAGGCAAGCAGAGCAAGGGGTAGCGCATGAGTTCTCTGTGATACGCAGCACAACCCCCTGGAAGAGGACCCTGACCCACTGCTCCTCACATCTCCTTTCTCATCACCACCCCCCACCCCCAAAAGAGATGGATTCAAATTTAGAAGTCAAAAAAAAAAAAATGAGGAGCCAGCCTGGCTGGGATTAGAGTTGGTAAAATTGAACACCACCCCTATGCCAATACTAGGTTATTGCTATTACCAGCTGAAATGAGAGCATTTGTAAGTGTAAACATCTTTCCCATCTTTATAAGCCAACTAGAGGCCCGGTGCACAAAACTCCCTAGGCCTGGCCATCAATCAGGACCAATCAGGGCCTTCCGGCTGCTGGCCGGAGCCTTCCTCCATTCTACACCGTCTCCTGGTGGTCAGCGCATGTCATAGTGAGCAACTGAACTCCCAGTCTCCCGGTCAAACTCCTGAGGGGACACTTTGCATATTAGCCCTTTATATATATAGATTATAGGTCCCTTGTATAGTTTCCTAATTTTTTTTTTTTATTGATTTGTAGCATCACTTTATATATGCTATTAGAGACATTAGTGGCAATTTGGCCGGTCCAATGTAATATGGAGAATTCTTATTCTCTCTGCAAACTGAATTGGCTAGCACTTCCTGAACCATGTTAACCAACAGTGGTGACAGACAGCATCCTCCTCTTGTTCCTGACTTAGTGGGAAATGCTTCCAGTATTTCCTCATTAGTCAGATCAGCTTTTGGGATGAAACCGATTTTTTAACCATTTAAGTAGAATTCACTTATGTCTACCTTACCAAGAATCTTATCTAGAAGGAACATTATGTTTTATCCAATATTCTTCAGCATCTAGAGTAGCTCTTATATTTTTCTTCCTCTGACACAGTCAGTTGGTAAACTATGAGATTCGTTTTTATATTAACCCATCCTTCTAGTTCTAGGATAAACCCACAGTTGTTTCGTCAGTTAATGTACCGTTAGCTCTATGTGCTAAGAATTATACTTTTTTTATATATAACGCAGACATGCAGGTAGTACCTAAACGAACATCATCTCTGTGCTCAGAAAATATCAGGTGGGGGTGATGAGGGAAAAAGCGGTCTAAAAAGGCTCCTTGGGGCTGGGGGGAGCAATCGTACTAAGCAAGGTTGAGAAACCGCTCCCGGGCCTCCTTGGTCCATTTGGAATCAGAATCTGCCAGCTTGAAAAATAACTGGGGAAAAGCTTTCACTCCGGTCAGGTAAAGCCAAGCGGCATTTTGACAGGAGAGGGACCGGCTTGACAGGCCTCGCAGCGGAGAAGTGCGGGCGGGCGTGGGGCTCTGGCAGAGCAGCTGGAAGGAGGACAGGGCGAGAGCCGGAGAAACGAAACTGGAACAGAAGGGAGGAGCCGGGGCGGGAGGGCTAAGGGCCACTCCGGGAGCTCTGCTCTGAATGTCATGACTTGGAAACCGGGGAGTCCCAAGGTCAAAGGTGAATGTACCCAAGACCAAGCGCCTCTGGACAGTGGGCATTCCTAAGTGACCACTGTATTCCAGGAAGTGGATGAGGTGGGGAGCTAAAACCATGGGGACACAGCCTCCAGTGGCTAGGACGGCTTTGTCACACGCCTCCCAATTTCATCTTTAGGAAGGAAGGAAGAAGGGGGGCGGTGTGTGGTGGGGTTCCCAGGAGGGTAGGGACTCACGGGTAAAACTTTGGGGGCCACAGACGTTTCGGTCAGGCGGGGACATCTGATCCCAGGGGCTCTCCTCTTCCAAGTCCCAGGCTGGGGAGACCGAAGAGCTTGGGGAGCAGGAGCCAGAGTGGTGGCCGGAGGAGGACAAAGACGAAGACGAGCAGAGTGAGGAGTCATCCTCTTCCAACTGGTCAAACTTCCTTTTCAGCAGCCCAGCCATGGTGGGTACCGGGCACAGACAGCCTGGAACAGGAAGGAGAAAGCTCTCAGAGGCCGGCCTGAGGCCAGAGGTGGGCTCAGCTCTGATCGCCACCTCTCCCACTTACCCTTCGAGGTGTCCCAGGCCCTCCCGCCCCGCCCCCGGAGCTCCATGTGCAGGGGGCACATCCCCAGGGGTCTTCTTTGCACAAGACGGAGCAGAGAGGCCCAAGCCCTCGTCCTGGGGCTTGGAGACTCCCATCACTCCACCCAAAAGCCCTTCCAGGACGCTGCCCGGCACCTTCCCCACCACCTCCCACAACCCACCTACTCAGGCGCACACACACCAGACAAACAGATGGACCGACAGACCTCTGCCTAGCCTCGCTCACTCCCCGACAGGAATCCTGGGGGCTGACTCACTGGCTGGGTGATTCACAGGGCTCACATCTGTGTGCTTTTGTGTGTGTGAGAGACTGTCGGCGCGGCCATGGCTCTGCTTCCTCCGCCCCCTCCCCTCCAAGCACACCCACAGGCACACTGTCCTGCACACACGCAGCAGCTGTGGGCCCTGCTTCCAGGGCCAGGCCAACCAGGACACGCGGGGAAGCAGGCTCGCTCTGCCGCTGGCCCTGCTTCCCAGGCCCAGGACTTTCCCGGGTCCCTCCTCTCCCGCGAAGGGCCTGCTCAGACTTTCCCTCAGAAACCCCCGCCCCACGGAGGACCTGCCTCAGTCATGACTGTGGGACACCTAGGCTTCATGTCGCTTTCATATCTCCTGTTTGGTCTTAAAAGGTCGCCTACATCTGCCTTCTACTCCAATATCTAGCCCTGTTTGTTTGAATTAACTTCCCATGGAAATTATTGTTTCCCATTAAAAAAAAAAGACAACTCTTCCAGTGAAACCGACCTGCCAAGACCATGTCCCACTCTCTCCCGTCTGCAGCTCGGTGGCTTGGAGCCGCCCCAGGACGCCCTGCTCCTGTCTCCCTTTGCAGTCTCAGTCCTCCCGGGAATGCAACGAGGCTCCCCCATCCAAGTGGAGTGGAGGGGACTTGGGGCTCCCTCCCCTAAATGCCAAGGCAAATAACAGCCCCTTACAGCCCCTTCCACCCCCTTGGGGATCCCCTAAGGCTGATCACCTTGTCTCTGCACATCCCGTGGCACTCAGGGCTCGGCCCCCAGGAGGTCACCAAGAGGAAAGGGAAACGATGCAGGGGCCCCAGTGCTGGGAGCCCCTCCCCCACAGCTATCACAGGAAACGAGAGAGAACAGGAAAAACCAACCAGAGGGCTGGCATCTCCCCTCCTCAGGTGTCCTTTCCAAACACCCCTTTCTCCCTTCGCCCAGCCTCTCACAAAGTCCCTGGATCCTAGACCCAGAGGGTGTGCTGTCAATCAACTTCCTGGTAGGCTTACTGGATACCATTCTTTGCAGGGACAGCCTCTCCCTGCAGGCACAAGAGAAGCAAGAGAGGGCTGGCCTCCTTGCAAACCCTCCACGTTGGGGCCCAGGGGGAAAGAGGACACACAGGTGTTTCCGGGGGCTTCTCAGCGGGTGCATTCTCAGGCTTGGCACCCCCCTCCCAGGGCCAAACCACAAACAAAAACAACCCAGCTCGCAGCTGACCTGCAGGTTCTCCCAGGAGATGGGGGGACTTTGTGACCCAGAATCAGGCATGCACACATATAACAACACATGCAGACCAGAGACGCTCAGACACACAGGGACAAACCACACCCAGGCTCGCTGTCCCCGCCACAGTCTCCCAATGAGGTCCATCTCTTCCCAAGCTCCAGATGTGTCTACGGGGTGCTGAGTGGCTCCCTAATCACACACCCAGGCCTGAGACCCCTCCCCCCAAAACCAAATGCCCACTTGGTATTTCTGCCTGGCTGTTCCCTAGAAACATAAAATTCTGCAGGCCCCAAATCGAACCCCTCGTCTGTGTTCCCCACCCCCCTGCCCGTGCCATCTGTTCCTCTTCCTGTGTTCCCTATCTTAGTAACAGCACTGCCACCCACCCGGTTACTCAAGCCAGAAACCTGCAGCCATCCTCAGCTCCTTCTTCCCTCTTCTCTCCCTCCAACCACATCCAGTCACACACTGACTCCTTTAATCCGCACAGGGCCCGGCACGGGCTCAGTAGGTATCATGGAGGCCACCCAGCACAGGGTAAGAACCTTGGCTCCAGAACCAGACTGCTTGCAATTGAACCCCGGCTTAGCTCTTAAATTAGCTGAGTGACCCTGGGTCAGTTCCTTAACCACGACACT